TATAGGTAATTATTCAAGCCCCTACATGGAGGTTCATGGGTAGTTATAAGTGGAGTTATAAGTCCCCTATTATGGGTTACAATTATGGTTACCCTACTTATAACTCCACTTATAACCCCCTAAACCCTAAACCCTAAACCCTAAACCCTTAAAGGAACCCTTAAAGGAACCCCATAACCCTACTTATAACCCCACTTATAACTACCCATGAACCGCCAAGTATAGGAGCAGTTCAAGAGCTTTTAGAGCTCAGGTTGGGTGGGTTTAGGATTTAGGGGTTTAAGGATTTAGGGGCTTAAGGGTTTAGTTTAGGGTTTAAGGATTTAGGGGCTTAAGGGTTTAGTTTAGGGTTTAAGGATTTAGGGGCTTAAGGGTTTAGTTTACAATTTAAGGATTAGGGTTTAAGGATTTAGGGGTTTAAGGATTTAGGGTTTAAGGGTTTAGGGTATAAGGGTTTAGGGTTTAAGGATTTAGGGTTTAAGGATTTAGGGTTTAAGGATTTAGGGTTTAGGGGTTTCTGCGGTTTTCGGCTTCGGGACTTGATGGGTCAAATGGAGAGTCGAGTCGTGTTCTGTGCTCGACTTTCAAGTCAACCCGAAACCCTAAACCCTTAGACCCTAAACCCTTAAACCCTAAACCCTTAAACCCCCAAGTCCTCAAACCCGAAACCCTTAAACCCTAAACCCTTAAACCCCAAATCCCTAAACCCCTAAATCCTAAACCCACCACCCTGAGCTCAAAAAACTCCTGAACTGCCACAGCCAAATTCCATCCAAACTCTGATTAACCCTAAACCCTAAACCCTAAACCCTAAACCCTAAACCCTAAACCCTGATTACCCCCCAAGCCCGGAGCCCCCAACCCGAAACTCCCTAAGGAACCCTTGGAGTAGGGTTTATGCTTTAGGGGTTTAAGGTTTGGGGTTTAGGGTTTAGGTTTAAGGTTTGGGGTTTAGGGTCTAGGGTTTACACTTTAGGGGTTCAGCGTTTATGGTTTAGGGTTTAGGATTGAGGGTTGAGGGTTTTAGGGAGCCAAACCCAAAGGTACCCTTCGAGGAGCCAGTAGAGGAATCCCCTAAAATGTCCCTTGGGCCGCGCTTCGACATACCGGCGTGGATGGTACAGAAGAAGGCTCTCTAAACAGCCCGCATAGTACCTGCTGGACACGGTTTAGGGCCTGTTTAGGGTTTTGGCTTCAAGGTTTCGGGTTTCGGGCACAGCTTTGAGGCTGACGTTTTCAAGGACGACATCGAGTTTGCACAACGTAGGGGCCTTAATCATTTTAGAATCGGGTTGTGAAGTATATTATACTATATGTACAAAAGAACCCCCAAAATGGTAAATTAAGGCTCCCAGTGAAACAGCAGGACAACCCGCGCAGCAATACCAAGAGGAAAATGGTCGTAACAGCGGCCACAGCAACAGTAATAGTGCCGTAGTAGTAGTCGTAGTAGTCGTAGTAGTAGTAGTAGTAGTAGTAGCAGTAGTACTAGTACTAGTAGTAGTACTAGAAGCAGTAGCAGTAGCAGTAGCAGTAGCAGTAGCAGTAGCAGTAGTAGTAGTAGTAGTAGTAGTAGTAGTAGTAGTAGTAGTACCAGTAGTAGTAGCAGTCGTCGTCGTCGTCGTCGTCGTAGTCGTAGTCGTAGTCGTAGTCGTAGTCGTAGTCGTAGATGCAGTCCCAGACGCGGTCGGCGTCGTCGTCGTAGCAGCAGTAGCAGTTGCAGTACCAGTGTGTACGTGTGTGCACCTGCGCACGGGCGTGAGTACACATGTAAATATCAAACATGTGTATGTGCACGAACGTTTCAAAAGAAAACTTGCTGCTCGAGCGCGACACTCAAAGAAAAAAATTAACAAACTATGCCAAACCGAACACGAAGAGTACGAGTGAGATGAACCACCGTCTCATGTTTCCCTAGCGCTCCAGTTCCGCAAATCATAGGTTTCTGGGCTCCATCATATATGGTTAGTAGGTTACCTTAAACCCTAAACGCTAAATCCTCAACTCTACACCCTAAACCCTAAGTAGGTAGCTGGAGCCCAAGGGTCTCATAAAATGAAAGATCTTCGCTTTCCAAGGTGGCGGACACACGTAGACCTGAGCGAGTATCGATATTCGGTTCTGTCGAAGAGCAGTAGCTAGCTGCAACTACTATTACTACTACTACGACTACTACTACTACTACTACTACTACTACTACTGCGATCGGGTGATGTTAAGAGTACGGCAAGTATCCCGGATCTCGGGTTTAGGTTTCAAGAGTCAAGTGAGGGCTTAAAAGCTGAACATGCATACAGGGTCCTCAGCCAATATGGCAGTACTGACATTCCCTGACAGATATTTCCTATCTAATACATTTTGAAGACAAGAAACATGGACAATACCCCAGTGCCAATACCCTATTCCAAGTATAAATACAATGAGGCCTCTATAGACTCTAGATTCGACACTCGGATCGTGGGTCTTGGGGCTTACACGGTTGAATACTTATGATGCTTGGGGCCGCAACGCCGTAAGATTTGAGTTTCATGAAATCCGGAGACCGAAACCCTGGCAATTCCGGCGATGGAGGTAGCACGTTTAGGGTTCGCCTGCCTTTGAGGACGATACCCTGAACCACTGAAGGGTTGGGTGCTTACATATTCCTGGCTTGTGTTCTGTAAACATTTGGGTGAACCTCGCGGTGGGGGCTTTTCGAGGCCATGCTGCCGTCTACAACTACTGCTCCCACGAGGCTGAAAAAAAAGAGGGAGAGAGAGTAATTCCGTGAAGCCCTTCCTCGCGTCTCCCAGCCTGATGCAGTGGAAGCAACCAAAAGCCCCACCAAGAAGAGCTCCAAGCAGCCTTGAGACACGCTGTTTCTAGCTCCGGGTCGGGACAAGACAGATGATTGAACCTCTTGCCCGTCACAGAGACCTGCAGCATCAGCATTTGCTGTGAGTTACTAGTTATGTGGCTGCGGCTGATGATGTTGCTTTGGTTGTTGGTGGTGGTGGCGGTGGTGGTGGTGTTGTCGTTGCCGGCGTTGGTGCAGTCCCTGCCGCTGGCGCTGCTGCTGCCGCTGTCGCTCTCGGTGTCGCTGTCACTGTCGTTTTTGCTGTTTCTGCTGTTGTTGAGGTTACTGCTGCAGCTGCTGCTGCTGCTTCTGCTGCTGCTGCTGTTGCTGGTTGATATCGTTGCAATTATTGGTCTTGCTGCTCTTGCATCTCTTGCTGCTCTCGTTCTTGCTGTTTTTGTTCGTGCTCTTGTTCTTGCTGTCGCTCTAGCTCTTCCTGTTGGTGCTGTTGTTGATGTTGCCTATGTTGTCCTCTTCGTCGCCGGCATCGTGTGTCAGCAGACTCTAATAGTGCAAGACGAGGCAAAGAATCCAACAAGGCCCTATTATGCTATATCATGACTCCCTAAACCCTAAACCCTAGAGCCAGCGCTATATACCCTAAACCCTAAACCCTAAACCCTAAACCCTAGAGTCAGCGCTATATACCGGAGCGCGCTTCTCCTTCGTAGCTTACAGCCCTCGGCCTTCTTTTCCGCTTCAGGGCCTTTGGCCTGCGACCAGTGCAAAATGGAAAAGCTGAAAACCCCAAAACCCAAAGCCCTAAACCCTAAACCCTAAACCCTAAACCCTAAGCCCTAAACCCCAAAGGCTGCAGGGTTTCGGTCAGGCGCTCACCCTGAAGGCCTGGGTTTAGGGTTTAGGGTTTTGGGGTTTAGGGGTTTAGGGGTTTTAGGGTTTAGGGTTTACGGGGGGTGAAGGAACAAACTTCCAAGAACAAGCGAAGATCGAATTTTGACTCGTTCAAAGCATCAGTCAGTAAGGCTGGCAGACCGATCCTTTTTTGAGCTTCCCCTAAGGGTCCATGTACCCAAATAGTATATACCTTGGCGTTAAAGTAGTCCCTATATAGGTAGATTGGGGGCCAAAGTATATACTATATGGGTACATGGACCCTTAGGGTTCAGCTTCTGGTTTTCCATACAAGGACTAAGCGCCGGGGGGTATGATCATAACTACTACCAAGCTACTGCGGAACCCTATGGAGTAGCATGGGCAGCTATCGGTAAGTATTCAGGCTTCATGCTCTTTGGGAGGCAAGGGGTCAAGGATGGTGCGCAAAGCTCGGCCAAGACGCGGCGCTGCCACAAGCGAGGTGCCAAATGTGAACACCGCACCCAGAAGGCCTTTCTCACCAAGCGCTTTAAGGGGCGACCGGACAATTTGCTTTTCATTCATGATCAGTTCTGCCCCCCCTACTGAATGGGTCCTGATCGCGACTATTGTCTCTCTCAGTGTTTACCTGTAGCCATGGCAATAGTAGTTGGAGTGAGCAGCGGTGGCATTGTATAGCATCCTGACTATCTTGTTGTCCTGGAACAAAATCTACAAGTTGAACCTGCACGAAAAGATGGAGCAAGCGGACGATGCAGTCCTAGTCAGACGGGTAACGGCAGTTTTATGGATTGCAGCGCACTGCAACAACAATAATACGGGGGCCGAAACAATTACCAATATTATTTTGGGGCTCCTTCTTCTAGTTCTGGTATACTACACCCCAAAACCCTATTCGAATAGTTGAGTCCCCTATATTACCTCGGGTTGAGGCTCGGGAGCTCAAATCCACCTGTCATTTGCGTAACCAACATTCCGAAGCACAAGTCCTAATTAGAAATCTCTTATCCCGAAGTCACAGGCAAAACTCCAGCGCCTGAATCCCACTCTTGCCACTAGAACAGAGACTCTGAACAGCCCACAACTTCAAAACGAATCATATAATCACTAAACCTGCACGCTCTTCTCACATTGTTCTAAAGTGCTGCGACTTCCCTACACTCGAAACAGTAAACCACCACAAATTGTAAATTACATAAACCCTAAACCCTAAACTCTAAACCCTAAACCCTAAACCCTAAACCCTAAACCCTAAACGCAACTCCGTCTCAAAGAAGCTGAGCGCCCCTCGGCCGAGGACGCCGCCCAGCCCAGCACCGAGACCTGTACCCAGGGCCGTGAAGCCCAGGGCGCTCAGGACGCCCCGTGCGGCGCGCCACCTGGGTTTAGGGGTTTCGGGTTTAGGGGTTTCGGGTTTAGGGGTTTAGGGGTTTAGGGTTTAGGGTTTAGGGTTTCCCGTGCGGAGCGCCACCTCATGATGTCTCGACTTTCACGTTTTGTAAGTTTCCCGGATCCTGGGACTAGGGTTCGGCGTATGACCAAGAACAAATGCCTGACAGTAGTAGTAGTAGTAGTAGTAGTAGTAGTAGTACTAGCAGCAGTAACAGTAGCAGGTAGCAGGTAGCAGGTAGCAGTGGCAGTGGCAGTGGC